ACAGAGGCTTAAGAAATGCTCTTTAAAAACTATCTTTACAAACAAATATTAAGAAAGCATTGGTTTTGAGGGGGCTCGGCAGCGCAGATCACGAAGTGATCGAGCAGGGGATGGAGCCCCCGAAAATTCTAGGCGACGATGGGAAAATTTTTCACGAAGTGAAAAATTGGGGTCGCCTCCCATTGGATTCGAAGAATATTCGAAGAATATTCGAGAATAACAGAGGCTTAAGAAATGCTCTTCAAAAAACCGTCTTTAATAATCAAGTGTTAATAATCAAGTGTTAACAAGACCCTGTCAGGCGCGTGTCTTAGTGCATGTTTTTCAACAATGGTTGTTTAATGTAATCAGCACATTTCATCAGCGCATGTATAATAATACAATGTTGTACAAAATATGGAATCTATATGTTTTTTTAATTTGTCTGTCAAGCGAGTGTCATATAATTTTTGTTAAAAGTGTTTTTAATAATTGTTTCAGGATTTTGAATCTTTTTGTATATCGCTTTTGTATTAATTACTTATTACAAACAGTTTATGTAGTCAAACATGAGGAGCAGGTATGTATGATTTTACTCTAACAGAGGCCCACGCTACATGCTTACTACACATTATAACTGTATATTAAAATAAGTTTTAATTATCATTTAAATAATGACCATAAGCTCTAGTAGTTATACCATCATCTAATATATACCGTTTATCATCAAAACAGCTAAGTGATACTTTATTAATTTCATAACTACTAAGTTGATGGTTTACACTTCTAATAGTTTTCATTGTATGATGTATTTGTTTATTTTCAAATAGTGTTTGTTTATAGTCTTCATGTTTTATTTTATTTTTAATAATATTTTTCTTAATTCCTTTAGCTTTTTTATCTCCTTTATTATTGTCTTTAATATAACTATACATCTTACTTCTTAAACCAACAAATTCTTTAACTACTATTCCAGCAGCTTCATCTTTCATTTTACCAATAACTTTTTTATTAGTTTTATCATGATATTTATGGTATTCTGGGTAATCACTAAAATCAAATTTATCTTTATCAACCCAAAAATCTTTATAGACATCTTCAGTTTCGATTTCATATGTTAGACTATCTGTGTCTGTGAAAAGAAGTTTAGCTTTATCACCATATTTATTCTTGATATAATTGTAATGAAAATCATACATTAATACTTTAGATAAATCTAAGATACACATTCCCACATATGCCGGCCTGTTAAGGGTTAGTGTTTCTTTGATCTTATGTACAGCCACAAGGTTCTCATTGAAGATTTTACTACTTACATAAGTAGGTTTTGAAGCTAATTTTAATAATTTATCTTTATTAGTTACTAGTCTAACATCTACTCGTTTACGAAGGTTCTCCATCGTTTTACCGAATACTGAATTATTCATGAGTTTGAAGAAGTCTTTTTCAAAAGGATTTTTTGCATTAGTTCTTTTTTGAGTATTAAAGTCTATGTATTTTTTCAACCATGGAGATTGATTAAATTCAAGTACTCGGTGGACTTTAGTTAACTTTAACCCGAGATCTAAGTATAATTGAAGATTTCTATAATGTAGCACATACTTGTACTTATTTTGTAATGTAGGTATTAATTTTGAAACTAAACCCGTTGATATATTGTAATTAGAAGCAATTGTCTTACAATATTTTGACAACATATCACTAGTTACTTTAACTTTTTCTGGTGCAACAGGATAATTGTTATGTAAATCATGTAGTTCTTCAGGGTATTCTAAATCAACTTCTAAAATTAAACCTTTTTTATTATATACTTGATATTTAGCAAGGTTTATGTTGTTAATCTGTTTCTCAGTTAACCATTTGAAACCACCAGTAGGTAAGTATTGTGACATAGCCCATCCATATAAATTATTAGCGTCAAGATACATTATATATTTTGAGGGTTTATTCTTATCAAATGTTTTCATATACTTGTTATTTGCCTTACCATATCGGTTAGAAATATAAGAAACACCTCCTCTCATACCCTTTTCGATGAATTGAAACATGTCAATATCAGTCATTAGTTCTAATTTAATATCTGTCATCTTCAACATAGCATCCCATGAAAGACCAGGACTAGTAAAATAGTGGCATGGGTCTAAATTATAGTATTCTAAGCATGTTTTTCGAAAGTTTTCAAATACATCAGATAATAACAAAACATCAGATTTCAGATATAAGTCGTGGTAATCACCCATGTTTTTGAGATTGAATGTATTCCACACTTTCTGTGCATGGTTATAAGAATCATCTGAGATATTCTCATCAGTAAGAATACTATAAAAGTCTTTTTTTGAAGGAAACCCCTCATCAAACTTTTCAAAGCTATCCATATAATCATATGGGTATATACCTTTTTTAGTCATTAAATTAAGTTTTTCACCTTTAAACTGATTAGAGGTATATTTAAATGATTCTTTAGGTAAATTACTAACAAGCTTTTCAAGACTAGAGCTCATAAATTGAAAACTATCAAGAAATGTTAAATGGTTACCTAACATAAAAGCCATATACTTTTCCATATTATTAGGTATAGCATTTATATTCATCTGAATATCTTCTCCTTTTTTGTTTTTGTATGTATGCTTATTAACAATAGATCCGATCTCTTGCATTATGAAGTGACTGTCATACCCACGCAGGTTGTGAAATATTACTGGTATTTTTAATTTATCAGGGTATATTCTAAGTTTTAAATTACAATCTTGATGTGCTGAGCCTCTATATTTTCCAGTGATATGACAATGGTCTCGAACTCTAATATCTTTGTTAGTATATTTTTTGTTACAAATATGACATTCATCAGCTTTTTTAAATTCTTCTTCATCATCAGTGGTCATTTTTAATGGTTTATTAAAGTGGGTTTTCATAATATTTTTACAATATTTAACTTCTTTTAACATAGCTTCCATAAATTTATAACAACTTTTTTCACCTCTATATAGTTGAATTTGTTTAGTAAATTGATCATCATAACAACAAACAACTTTATACCCATAACCACAGTCAGTGTGCTTCTGGTAGGCTTCAGTATATGAGTTACCATTATCTTGTTGACAACCAGATATCTTTTCTGTAATAGCCTCAAAGTCTGCATATATAACAAATGGTACTGGTTGTTGCTTATGATAGTTGTTGAATTTAAGTATGTTATTATTTTTATCAGGCATTTTTATTGATTGTATACCATTTATTAATATACAGTTTTCTATATGGTTATTTAATATTTTTTCAGAACTAAAACATTGAAGACAGCGCATACAAAAGTGTTTTCCTTTATGCTTTGTTTGATTGTACATAAATTTATTAAAATCTTTTATTAATACATAATGTTTGTTTTCATTATCAGTTATCAATAGTAGTTCTATATGGTCTTCAAATTGTTCTTTTGATATGAATAATGGATATGGTTGTTTATCTTCATAACCGAAGACATTAATGTTAATTTTGTTTTGCTTTTCGATTTTATTATAATGTTTAACAGTCACTGGAAAATCAACCCTTCATAATTAAGCTTTTCAATATATTCTTTATCAGATTTTTAATTCTATGTGTCTTTATTTTGTGGGTTAATATGTCTAATATGGCACCACCTAAAACATTCATTATCATGGTTTTGATATTTATCAAACCTTTATTAGGGTTTTAAGTTCTTGAGGTAAATTAATGTATGAAGACCCTTGTAATGGCTTGTATTTAACAACATTAAGATAATGATTATCTATAGAGCGAATAACCCATCCAGAACCTTCTTGTGTAAATTTATCAATCTTGTTTAATATATTTTGTTTTGAAATTTGTAGTGATTCAGTAATATTTTCATTATTTGTAATTGTTAAAGCTTGACTGTTAAAATAAGCAACTTTTGTTAAAAAACCAGCTGTACCACCATCTTTTATTTCAAATTTTTCAAATATTACCTTAAGAGTTTCAACAAATTTTAATCCTTTCATTGTTGTTAATATTTCTTTAATATAATATGTAAGATACTTTCTTGTGCTTTGCATTTGTATTAATGGTGCTTTATTGTTAATAATGCTTATTTCATATGATTTAGTGTATCCTTTTATAGCATTGTTTATTTCTCTTATTTTAACTCTTGGTGTTGGTATTGGTTTTTTATTTTTATCTGATAGCATCTGTGTATTGTTCTCATACTCTTTAACAATCTCTTTTACACTCTTTCTTGGTTTGGGGACTGGTGTTAATACTTTGATTAATTCGTTTTTTCTAAGTTTATAATAACCTTTAACCTTGTTTTCTTTAGCAATAATTTTTAACTGTTTTACATTCATTTTTTTGATTAATTCGTTTTTTCTAAGTTTATAATAACCTTTAACCTTGTTTTCTTTAGCAATAATTTTTAACTGTTTTACATTCATTTTTTTGATATTGGATTGTGATAGTACTTTTTGTACTGGTTTGGAAATTGAAGTATTATTAACTTCAACCCACGGCTTTTGATTTAATATTAAATTAATTAAATCGTCTTTAGTCAAATTTTGAAGTTCATCTCTATTCATATTAGGCATACTATATAAAATAGGTTTGTCTTTAAGTACTATATGTTTTGTTTTATCTTTATTCATATATATACTATATATTTTATTTTTATTTTTTAAACGCACTAATTTTAATTATAGAAATAAATCTATATTTAAAACTTTTATAAAATAATTAAATTAATCTATTTAACTTTTGAGTGTTTTTAAATATTTTGTAAATATTCTCTTAACTTAGCTTCAGTTTTATTGTATTAGGTAACATACCGGTCTTAGACCGACCTCCCATGGATTGAAACCCTTCTCATGTATCCAGATCACTTTGTTTAATTTTTCTCTAATAATTTTATTATCAAGAGCTTCTTGTACTGTTGTATTATAATAGTAGTGAAGTTCTTGTTTATGATCATTAGTTTTAAATATTAATAACCTTAAATGTTTATGATGTTCAACTAATTTTAATTGACGTTTATTTGCTTTTGTAATTAGTGTATGTATAAATGTTGGGAGATCTTTACATTTTTTATATCCTGTAGAATCAGGTGGATAATGTAATAATTTTGTTGGTAAAGAATCTATGTATATAAAAACTAAATTTAGAATATAAATCTTTATCAACCATTCGAAAATCCCAGCCAGTCTCAAATACACTAGACTAAGAATTTCATTATTATTTTTATATTTTCTATCATATATAATTACTATATATTTAAATTTTTTTTGTTAAACGCACCTAAATTTTTGAATTTCTTAAATGTTTTTTAGTTCTAAGATGCAAAGTTTTATATGCTAAACTATATGTTTTATTACATAAATTACAATGCCATGGTTTTGAGAGCATATATAATGTCCTATGTTGTTTGATTTGTTCTTTAGTATAAATTATTGGCCTTCCTCTTAGTAGGTTATCTGAACACATATATACTATACTATATATTTTATTTTTTTAAGGTGCGTTTAAATTATCTTTTGTTTTATACAATGTTTTTTCAAAATCCTTTAAAACACCTTCTATATTAGCACTAGTTTTTTTACAACATAGAATAAAATTTCTAATCTTTTTTAATAGATTTTTAAGATTCATATATAATAGTAAATTTTTTATTTCTTTGACTCTATCCAATTTTTATAATAAGTACAGTTGATGTCTTTATCCCACTCAAGGATTTTATATACTTCACCGAATAATCTATCATCAAAAACTCTTTTTGTCTTACTATTTTTCATATCTCTAATAGGGTGTTTTAATGGTATACCAATCCTACTAGCTAAACGTATTATATAATAGTTATACATGCTAATATTCTTTTTCTGTATCAACTTATGTTTAATCATAGTACTAACAACTTTTATAAAATTATTTGTAATCATCTCAACATATTCAAAAGTTACACACAATTTAATTTTATTATAAAACCATTTTCTCCTTGAATGAACTGATTTTTGACATTTCCAAATATCTGGTATCCATTCATTAACTATCTTATATGAGTGAACAGAACCACAGTTCTTACAAACATTCTTTGTATTATCTGAAATAATTTCTTGATTTTCACAACATAAGTATGTTTTAGCAGATCTATTAATATAACTATCACATATCTTTTTATCACAAAAGCAACAATTTACATAACCGAAAAACTCTTCTAACTCTTTATGAACAAATTCATTACAATACATATATACTAATACTATATATTTTATTTTTTAAGTAATTTTATATAATAAATATCCAGATATAACACCAATCCCTACCATTGTAATAGATTCATATTTTTTCATATTTTTCGATCTTTTATAAAAGTCATATAACTGTGGTTCTCTATGAAATGTTAACCCGTTGTAATGTATCGTTTTTACTTTTCTAAGCGCATCTAAAGCTTTGTTTGTCAATTCTATATCATCATTAGCATATTGAAGTTCTTGTCTTAGCTGTTGTATTTTATCATGCTGCTTGACTTCATTTTCATAGAATGCCTCTTTAGCCTTTTGTAGTTTTACTAAAGAATCATGGTATCTTTTCATTTCCTCAGTGTAACCATTTTTATCAAGTTTATGAAATAGCCAGCCTGCTAGACTAAATCCTAGGCCGTTAATAACCGCTCCTATAGAAGTTGTTAATCCACTAGTAATAACACTTGTCATATATATTTATGCAGATTTAAATGGATTTTCAGGGACCCATTTTTTGTCTTGAGCATATTTGACTAGCATTGTTGATGTTGTAATAGCAATAGCTAGTTTTGTAAAATCTTTAATATTATCAGTATCTGTTAATTTTTGACCTAGTAGTTTTTTAGACACCATAGAAAGACCTACAGCAGTTGTTGTCACAAGCACTGCATCAAAAGCTTCATTCATAAATTGTTTCTTAGTCATAGTATTACTCATATATAATAGGAAATATTTTATTCAAATGAGTCTAAATTATATTTTTTATTTTTTTGTATCAAAACATGTTTTTCACTAGTTGTTTCTTCTTTTGCTTTATCGTTTGTTAATTTTTCCTGTCTTTTATCATTTTTTCTTGTATAATAGAGACTAGCAATAGCAGTTAATACTCCAATAGTTCCAAATAAGAATCCATAATTAATATTCCAGCTATTATCCTCAATTTCCTTTTTATTTTCTAATTCAATCCTATCTCGCATCTTTTTTTCTTTAGCAACTTTCGATATAGCAGCTAAGCGTTTACCAGCTTCAACTCTAATAGGGTCTTTTTCTTTTTTAACTGTAGTAATTTTTAGGTTTTCTTCAGACATGTTATATAATACTGTAGATTTTATTCACAAATAACTTATAGATAACTCACAGATAACTCACAGATAATCTTATAGATAACTTACAGATAACTCACAGATCTTTATATTTTTTGTTATATTTACTCACCATACTATCTATAGTAGTGCAATTGTCAATTATAATATCATCTATAACTTTTATGTCTGATAAAAATATCACTTCATCATAAGGTAATCCTCTTAAATATGATCTTATATCCATAAGTATTTTTTCATATGACGTATATGCAAATTTACACATTTCTAAGTTATTGTTAATTTTACTCTTAACCATATAACCTTGAATTAAAGCCCCTAAGCCACTCAGGGTGGCTATAACTATAGGGTTGACTGTTATACTACCTACAATACCAGCAGTCGAGACTAGAACAATACTTCCCATGTTTAATGATAGTCTAATTTTCTTTAATTTATTATACTTCCATTTATAACAAGTATACATTTTATGATAGTACAAATACAACTTTTTCAGCTTTTCAAATTCATCTTGACTCAACTCACTTGAAATATGATTAAAATCTAGAACTTTCTTCATATTATATTATAAAACATATTTAACTAATATGAATGATGATAGCGTTGATATACCGAGTAAAGCAATCATATCTGTTTGATGAGGATTATTTACTATCATTTTTGTATGTTTATGTACTACTGGTTTTTTATGAACTTCATCTAGAGTATCTAAGTGTTGTGAGGGTGTATCTTGATGTACTTTTTTCAGTTCTTCCTTTTTAACTCCATAATAATTTATTTTAGAATTAATACCGAATTTCATATTTTTATCAGCTAATGTTAAAATATTATTATACCCATTAATCTTTTTATTTAATATTATCATACGGCTTGGTATTAAAATCATACCAGGGCTGATTGCCATATTCAAAATAACATTCGTGTCTTTTATAGCTTTCCTCATGTTAGATATAAATACAGTTGTATCATTCTGTACTATAGTATCCTCTAATAATTTCCTAAAAACTTTTTGTGTTTGCATGCTCTTAGCTCCATGATTAACTATTGACCATCTTGTATTTGCTTGAGCTCCAAGAATTGTATAAACAAAGCTTTCAATACTCTCTTGCAAAAGAATTTTTCCGACTAATGTAATACCTTCCGAATGATATGCAATGAAGCTACGATAATCAGTAGTCGAATATTGAAAATTAACATAATAACCATCATTGTTTTTATCAAATTTTAAAATACCTTTATAAGGTACATGCTTTTTCAATTCCGTAAAGTTATATTTATCTAATAACGATGGGTGCTTCATAAATTTTTTAATCTGATAATATAAATGGTATTTAACAAGGCTTTGTATAATTCTGCTTTTATCAAAATTTAAATGATTAAGCCCAATACCAGATAGAAACGAAGCCACATAAGCCCCACAAATCATAGCATAGTATGCTTCTTGTTTATAATTTAAATGATTTTTAATATTGTATCTTATACCAGTCGACTGTTCTTTTTTACTTTTAATTTCACTTGACCACGTGGCTGTTATAGGTGGTAAATTACTCATAAAATAATCATTCTCTGTGACATACAATCTGAAGTTACAGATATCAACATTTACCGGTCTTTGAAATGTAGGTTTTACAATAAACTTTGATGACCACCTATGCAGCATATGATCGAAAAAATCCTGGTAATGACCTTCATCTCCATTTATTGCTGCCACAAGATTTGAAAACGAAGGCGTTTTAGTTGTTTCTAAATATATTTTAGGCCATGCTTGTACATTTTTTGAATCATCATCACCTAATTTTATAGCATTTTCTTTTATTTGTTTATCTGACATATAATATAAGCTATATTATATATGAAGTTTACTGTTTTTATTGACGGAGATAGTAAAAAATTAACTTACAAGAAAGTATAGTAACAATTAACTATTCATATTTATATATTAAAAAAGCTTATGTGTATTGGGAATATAAAAATGTTAAATTAAATAATACTTTAGCTTTTACAATAGGCGCAACAAAATATAATTTATCTTCTGGTTACTGGACTTTTAAAATGCTTAAAACGTTTCTTGAGTCTGTTAACGTAAAGCTTGAGATGGTAGAAAACAACGGAACTTGTAAAATAACTAATAATAATGATGAGATATTAGTATTGTCTGATACTCTTATTAAAATGTTAGGCTTTAATGATACTATAAAAACTATGAAAAAAGGTATCGTACAAAATGGTGTTTCTAAAGTGGATATAAACAGAGGATTAAACTATATTCAAATTTCTTCTAATATTGTAAATTCAAGTTATAATTATAACCCTGAAGGAAAAAAAAGTAATATAGCTTTAACTTTACCAGTAATAACAATTCAGTCATTATTTGGTACTGTTTACGAATACAACGATATTGAATCTAAAGTTACAATTATAAAAGGAGCCTTTAACGAGCTAATATTTAATATATTAGATCAGTATGGAACCCCTTTGAATGTAGGTAGTATTCTACTTGAATGTTATCTTGAGTAAGTTAATTTAAATGGATGAAGACATTAAAATTGAGCAAAGTTTAAGAGATATTTATTATGATCCGAAAACAGGGTATCAATCAGCAGAACGACTGAATCAGAAAGCATTAGAAGAAGGTATAGATGTTAGTAGAAAACAAGTTAAAGAATGGTTAATATCTCAAGATACATACACTAGATATAAACCTATTATTAGGAGACATAAATTTAGGCAAACAAGAGTAAACTATCTTGGTGAACAAATACAAATGGATTTAGTTGATATGGGTTCTTATAAGTATAAAAACAATGGTTATTATTGGATATTAACAGCTATTGAAATATTAAGTAGATATGCATTTGCTATCCCTGTTTATAGGAAAGACACAAATAATATGACAAAAGCTGTTGCAAAACTATTAAGTCAATTTAAAGATAGATTTAATGATTACCCGAAACTAGCTCAATTTGATTATGGTAAAGAATTTTATAATTTAGGTGTCAAATCATTATTAGAGAAACATAAAATTAAGTACTTCTCTACTAAAAATGATAAAAAGGCCGCTATTGTTGAACGATTTAACAGAACACTTAAAACATCTATGTGGAAATATTTTTATAGTAAAGGAACATATAAATGGATTGATATATTAGATTATTTAGTATATAATTATAACAATACAAAACACAGTACAATCTTAATGAAGCCTAAAGATGTTAATAAACATAATGAAGATGAAGTATGGAATACATTATACGGTCATGAAGTTGCTTATTTACCATTACCTAAGATTAAAATTGGTGATATGGTTAGAATATCAAAGTATAAATCTATATTTACGAAAGGCTATGAAGCAAATTTTACAGAAGAGTTGTTTAAAGTGACTAAAGTTATTAGAGGAGATCCGAAATTATATGAGATAGAAGATGTAGAAGGAGAGCCTATAATTGGTAAATTTTATGAAGAGGAACTATCAGTTGTAAATAAGAAAGATGATGTTTATAGAGTTGAAAAGATATTAAAACGTAAGAAGGTTAAAGGTAAAAAGATGGTTTTAGTTAAATGGTTAGGTTATGATAATAAACATAATAGCTGGATCCTTGAAAGTGAAATACAAAATATAGAGTAATCTATATATGGCAGAAGGAGGTTTTGATTATATTGAATTAGAAGATAATAAACAAGAAGATAATAACGATGATAATGAAGATATTGCTGAAACATCATTTATTAATGATAATGATGATAAATTATTTATTACTGATAATGATGGTATAACAATAACAATACCTAATACTATTCCTAATGTCCCTACTTCAACTCCTGTTTATACAAATATTAATAGACCTGAAAATGAAGTTTCTTTTGCTGTTGAAAAGTTCATTACAAAACATTATAAATATAAAAATAAATATAAAACAGAGTTTAGATTTAATCACCTAAAAGGTACGGCATATGATGAAGGTTTAAATTTTAGATTAAATTTAGGTAAAACTGATATAAATAATATTACTTACAAACCATTAAATACAAGAAATAATCGAGGTGCTGAAAGAATTGTTTTACAACGTAATAGTAATGGAGTACTACAATACAATAAAACAAAAAAATCAGAAGAAGCTGTTAAACAATTTAAAAACGAAATTAATAGAATTATTAATTTGCAATATGAATTTATAAAAACTGAAAAAAGTATGCCTATGGTTGATTTAAATAATCAATATACAGATAATTTCAATCAAATAACTAATGAAGAACTTAGAGAACATATAGGTGTTATGACTCCATCTGGAACAATCGATAAAAGAACACGCCCGCAATTCATAAAAGCACAAATAAATCACTTTGCTGAAGAGCTAAACAAAACTCAAGTTAGAATAGATGAAATAGAAAATGAAAATGAAAATGGTATTGACAACAATATTGATGAATTAACTAATTTACAAGAAAGAGCCGAAGAATTAGAAACTATAATTAGAGAAGAAGAAGAGCAATTAGAAAAAGAGGATGTACTAGAGAAACAAGAAGAAGACATTACTAGATTACAGCGGTTTAAAGAATGGGTAAAAGAAAATATACCAGGTTTATCAGCTTTAGCTATATCTGTGGCTGGTATAATTACAACCATTGTCATAGGAGCTAGAAAAGCAATCCTGCAAGGTGCTCAATCTACTAGTAAATTTTCTAAGGCTTTAGTAAATCTAGGTAAAAAATTATGGCCATTGTTAGGACCATTATTGAATATTATCGCTCAGGCTATATCTTGGGGAGCTAAAGGTCTAGCATGGGTAGCTTCTAATCTATGGGTTTTAGCTATTGCTGCTTTGTTAATATATGACCAGTATAAACAAAGAAGAAAATAAAATATGTTTTAATATATATATGAACAGATTACAAGAAGAGCTTTTACCTAATTTTAAAAGAATTAATATGACAAAAATTAAAGGTACCCGTACTTTTTATAGTATAACCTTTAATCCTAATAGTGTTAAACCTAATGAACAAATCTATGTTAATGTGCCTAAATTAAAATCAAATAGTTGTTTAGTTCCTGGTTCGCTTAATCTATCATTTGATCTTAAAATCAGTAATACAAAAAGTCACTTTCTAAATAATCTCAGTAAGATTTTACAGCATAGACTACAAATTAAAGTGGCAGGAGAGACTCTTTACGATTGTTGTGAACATAATATTATAAGTGTATACAAAGACCTGTGGTTGCCTAAAAGTGATCGACAAAGCCTTATTGAATATGGAATAGCTAACGAAAATCTTAGAAAACTTATTTCCAAAGATGATAGTTCTGCAACAAGTGGAAGTTCAGAAAAGTATCAGATAAATTAATGTATGATATTTATGGTACAAGGCAAAAATTAATATTGATAATATTCTTAAAGATCATGGTCTGTATTGCCCTTTAATATGAATAATAACTTTCAATACATAATAACATTACCACCAAGTGATCAAATACTTATTCCTCAAAGTGGTCAAAGTATCGGTGATTATGAATTAGAAAATATTCAGCTAGAATATGAAACTATTGAAAATCAAGAAATTGCAGATGAGATAACAAATCTATATTCTATAGGAAGAAGCCTATTTTACCATCATATAACCCTCTTAAAAAGAAAAATGGGATAAGTCAAGTACATTACAGAATGTTAATGTCAACGTACCACGTAAAAGTATGAAAGGCATTGTACTACTATTCACAGAAAATTCAGTTAGTGATAGTGAAAATTTTATATATCCCAATATCGATTCAGTTAAAATCACTATTGAAGGTTTACCAAATTGTATTTTCGCTCAAGGTATGGATAAAAAAGTATTTTATGAAGAAGCAAAACGGTTTTTTGATAAAACTAACCCAATAGATTGCTTCATGACAATTGAAAAATTCTATAATGATAAATTTGCATTAGTTATCGATCTACGCACCTTTCAAGAAAAAAATATTGCTGGTAATGGTAAAAAAATCATTAATACTCAAAATGGCGTTCTACTAGAAATTAAAAAGAGAGTATATACAAAAGATTTAAACTGTTACATTTATGTTATTAGTGATGCTCTTGTTCAATTTGTTAATAATGATTTACAAAGTATTCAATACTAAATAACCAGTAATATATAAATGAACACACCCTTTAATATGATTATTGTAGGCATGACGAACTGTGGTAAGAGTCATTACCTTCTCAAATTGATAGAAGAAAACTTTAATAGACATTTTGATTATATTATTTTATTATGTCCAACGCTATCATATAATAAAACCTATCAAGAATGGAAATATATAAATGATTCTGATTTAATTAAGGTCGAATGTGACCAAGATCAGGTAGATATTGTTTTAAAATATGTTAGTGATGTATATAAAGGTACAAACAGTCTTATTATACTTGATGACTGTGCGAGTTGTTTAGATGTTAAAAATAGGACTTCTGAATTAGTTCGTTTAGCATTTAGTGCTCGTCACTATGAACTTTCTACTATTGTGGTTACACAGCAATTGACAAGTATTGCCAAACCTTATCGTGAAAATATAAGTTATTTAGTTGCATTTTATAATACAAACCGCAATAATATGAAAACAATATTTGATGATTATCTTTATGGTGTTGAGAAAGATGATATAGAAGAAATAACCAAAAAATTGAAAAATAATAAATTTGCTCATCTATTTATTCAACTAATATATCCATACCAATGGAAAATTGTTATTCCGCAATAAAACATGTGTTAATATATATGCCAAAGCGTAAAGAGCCTGAAACAATTGATGATATAATTAATGAGATTGATTCCGCAAATGATACTATCAAAGATGCTGTATGTGATGATAATATACAAGATAAACCGCAAGAGGGTTTTAATAAAAGAGATCAACTACTTAAACTAGCTGAAGATGGTGATTTAGACAAGTCAGTTGCTTACATTAAAAAAGCTAGTCAAAAAATTATTGATAAATTATACATTGAATACGAGAAAAAACGATTACAAAAAGCTAATGAGTTTTTAACTGATTTAGTTATATCAAAATTTTCAGATATATTAAAAGGGTTTGATGCTATTGAAGACTCAAAAGAATTAACAAAACAGCTTAAATCAGACGACCTTTTAAAACGAGATGTTTATAGTTTAGTAGAAAAAATATCACCCCTATTACCTTTTCTAGGTTTTTTATCAGGTGTTATAACAACCGTTAAACATGTTTACGAACATAAAAATAATAAACCGGATATAAAATCTGAGGAATAATATAAATGAGCTTATTTTATGGGCATGATAAAACAGATATTAATGTAAATATACAAGGACCTGTAGATAAAACACATCTATCAGATAACTACTACACTAAAACTCAAGTTAATAATAAATTTAATGACCACTATAATAAAACTCAAGTTGATAATAAATTTAATGACCACTACTATAATAAAACTCAAGTTGATAATAAATTCAATGACCACTTTACTAAAACACAAGTTAATAATAAATTTAATGACTATTATACAAAAATGAATCAAATTCCAAGTATGCTTTGACTTATGATTTATCCAAATTCTATACAAAGAGTGAAACAGATGGTAGGTATTCTTTGACTGCTAATTTAAATAAATATTACACAAAGACTGAAACAGATGGTAAGTATGCTTTGACTTCTAATTTAAATAACTATTATACTAAAACACAAGCTGATGGTAAATTTAATGACTACTATACTAAAACACAAGCTGATGGTAAGTATGCTTTGACTTCTAATTTAAATAACTATTATACTAAAACACAAGCTGATGGTAAGTATGCTTTGACTTCTAATTTAAATAACTATTATACTAAAACACAAGCTGATGGTAAGTATGCTTTGACTTCTAATTTAAATAACTATTATACTAAAACACAAGCTGATGGTAAGTATGCTTTGACTTCTAATTTAAATAACTATTATACTAAAACACAAGCTGATGGTAAGTATGCTTTGACTTCTAATTTAACTAACTATTATACAAAGAATGAGATTGATAGCAGAGTAAATGGTAAAGTAGTACACCATAGCAATCAATTAAATTATAAAAATTTTAATACCCGACAAAATATTATCAGAATTTATTTTAAAAAATTTAAATTTATTGAATTTATATTTTTATTAATAAATCCATCTGATAACTCTAAAACAATTAAATTAGATATTATGGTAGATAAGATTAAAAAAAAATTTATCATTAAAGTAACAAATGATAATGAAAAAAAGATAGTTAATGCATTACTAGATTTATATCACGTATACTGTGTTGATGATAAAGATAATAATATTTTATTAATTATTGAACCAACAAAATCTTCAGTTTCACTAGGTTATGATGAATGGAAAAGAAAATGGCTGGCAGCATTTAATGGATTAACCAAAATTCAAGTTTATTCACAACATCAATCTACATTATCTATGTCATCTAATGGTTTTTCACAAAATTTTAGGGCTACTATAGAAGATAATATTCTATCAACTAAAAAATTTGTAAATGATGAAATCGAAAAATTAAAAAAATTTATTAAAAATAACTATCAAGCTAAAACTTAAGATGAAGAATAATCCTCATGTTTGACTACATAAACTGTTTGTAATAAGTAATTAATACAAAAGCGATATACAAAAAGATTCAAAATCCTGAAACAATTATTAAAAACACTTTTAACAAAAATTATATGACACTCGCTTGACAGACAAATTAAAAAAACATATAGATTCCATATTTTGTACAACATTGTATTATTATACATGCGCTGATGAAATGTGCTGATTACATTAAACAACCATTGTTGAAAACATGCACTAAGACACGCGCTGACAGGGTCTTGTTAACACTTGATTATTAACACTTGATTATTAAAGACGGTTTTTTGAAGAGCATTTCTTAAGCCTCTGTTATTCTCGAATATTCTTCGAATATTCTTCGAATCCAATGGGAGGCGACCCCAATTTTTCACTTCGTGAAAAATTTTCCCATCGTCGCCTAGAATTTCGGGGCTCCATCCCTGCTCGATCACTTCGTGATCTGCGCTGCCGAGCCCCTCAAAACCAATGCTTTCTTAATATTTGTTTGTAAAGATAGTTTTAAAGAGCATTTCTTAAGCCTCTGTCGTCCTTCGGACACCACGGGAGGAGCCGAAAATTCTAGCTAAAGCTAGAATTTTTACCCACCAGGCTCGCATGAATTCTCGGCGATCCCATCCTGCTCAATTTTAGCTACGCTAAAATTTGCGCTGCCGGATCGCCTCCGAACCGATGCTTTCTTAACATTTGTTTGTAAAGAAAGTTTTTACTACTATATTGAAACAAACAATTTTTTACACAGCTTTTTTACATGACCTTTTTACCAGAGGGACGTCTTTGAACCATGGTCTTATTTTAAGCTGTTATAAAAATAGTTTTTACCCAAGGTTATATGTAGTATAGTACATGGGGGATTATAGCGCACTTTTCGTGCGCTAGAACCCCCATGTACTATACTACTTATGTGAAGTAATAATGCAAGTCGTTTATTGTTGCGCGATCGACTAGTTGAGATCACTTTCTTTTCAATTATAAGCTCTCTGCTGCACGCAATTTAAAAGAATGTGATGGCAAAAAGTCGATCGCGCGACAATTTGCACTGAATGGAAATCAGTTATTACAGTTTGAATTCAGTTTTCCTTAGAAGCTTCGTTTTTCTTTCCCCATTCGTAGCGTTTATGATTGTGTGAAAATAACTCAATTTTTCTATCATCCATCCACAGTATATTGTTCAAAAAGACGTCTGGTTTATTGACATCTTCTTTTGCATGTTTGGTAGAAAAAAAGATGACTGCATTAATAAAAATGTTTCGCTACAGTCGTTTTCGTTAAAATATTTAAAAGATCTCTTTGAGTCGTTCAGTCGAAGAGAAGGTCACGAAGTCCTTTGCACTAAGGTTTATTACTTGCTGTCTTGTAGTTACTCTATACGTTTTTTTGATTGTCAATGCTTGCACGCCCAGCATCAGACGTAAGCTCCATTTTAAAGAGCTGATGATGCATGCGTGCTTGCATATTGCCATTTTAAGTCAAATTCGAAGAGCATGTGTATTTGAACCAAATAACAGCGTCAGCTTGCATCTTGAATCATTTTCAACTCTGGTGAATGAGAAAGTTAATGGCATATGATGTCTTTGGCAAGTCGACTGAATCGACACTACTTTGAGGCAAGTTTACCAAGTCAAAGGCTTCTTGTTCGACTGTTTTATCGTCATTACTTGAGACACAAGTAAATCTTTCGCCCTTTTGCTCAACATCGTGAAACTCGTCGTTGCAATCCTCATGTCTTTTTTGCTCCACAATTTATGTCGTTGTGTGGTAACAGAAATCGTCTTTCCCTCGCGTCGGCAACTTTTTAGTTATTAACTTGCAAAAACTAGCTATAAACAACATCGATAATAATTAAACTGCCATATGTGTCATGCACGTTGCATGATAAAATCGTTATTTTTATTCTACAACGAAGTCGTCAAAGAAAACTATTTCATAATTCAACAACAACATCTCGAATTATTTTATTTTCAACAACAACACACCCCTTCTGTGATAATCCCAAAGTGTCAATCACGTGAAATGCACGCGCTACGTCACAACAAAACAAAATAAAAACAACTGTTCATCACACTCCCGACGTTGATCATATTGAGCAATTTATTTCCACGAGCTTTTACTATTTGACTGTCGCAATAGGTCTCCAATCACGGCTGCCGTTCTTCGTTGTCGGGTTTTCATAGGGTTTTCGTCTTTAGACTCAATTCCACTAGCGGTTTTGGGAACCACGGTATTTGCTGGAAGCATATTCAACTCAAGTGGTATCAGCTGTTGTATTGGACGACGTAGTTCTGACGATCGAGCCTTTGTAGTACTCGCAACACAGACCTTTGCTGCTCGAACAACACCATCCTGACTTACTATGACCTCGGTAACTCTTGCCAATTTCAACAAAATTCGAGGGGAAAGATCATTTTTTAACACAACAACATCACCGACAGCTATTTTCTCCTTCTGCGCTCCATGAAGTAAGCGGGAAGTCTTTCTGACGCTTACAAGATATTCCGTTCTCCAACGATTAATAAATTGATCTAACAAACGTTTCTGATATTTCGCCTTTCTGGTTAGAGTTCGATTCGTACTGATGATTTCAAATTGTCGATCACTAGCCGTAAGAGTAAGTTGCCGTCCGTAAATTAATTGAGATGGAGTCAGAGGGTAAGAAATTCCTTCTTGGTCATCATAGATATATGTAAGTGGACGATTGTTAATGGTAGCCTCAATTTCCACCAAAATGGTTCTAAGCGCTTCAAAATCCATTGAGGATCGACCGAGAGTTTTCCTTAAACATCTCTTTGTACTTTGTATCATTCGTTCTTAAAATCCTCCTTGCCAAGGTGACTTTTCAATGATAAATTCCCAATTGACACCCTTGGAAGCCACCGTTGTATGTCAGTTGATCTCAGTATATTAGCAACTTCCCTTGAGGCACTTTTGAAGGTCTTGGCATTGTCTGATATTAGTCTAGACGGCAAACCTCTTCGTGAGACAAACCTTCGGAAAGCTTGCAGAAACGATAGCACAGACAAATAACAAACAAGTTCAAGATGAACCGCTCGAGTGGAGGCACAAGTGAACAAACAGATATATACCTTATCCATTCATTGATTGTTAGTAGCGTATAAGGGGCCTGCAAAGTCAATACCGCTGTTTTTAAAAGGGAGGCTCTTCGCTTACTTGACTTGATGGCAAACATGCTTCCTTCGCTGTTGGGAAAGCTTTACCTTCGAATTTCTTGCATTTGATACATCCACGCACAACACCCTTGACGCACTCTCGACCACGCAAGATCCAGTATTTTCCTCGAACGCAATTCAGAGTTTCTCTAATTCCTTCGTGGTGTACTATATTGTGACAGTCGCGTATAATTAATTTCGAAAAGGTATGCTTAGGGGGCAACAAAATCGGCTGTTTTGCACTATCAGGTAACGTAGAGTGGGCAATTCGACCTTCACACCGAATAATCTGATCATCATCGAGAAACAAACCAAGTTGTTGAACTCGTACATTTTTGCGACCGGTTCGAATACATTGTAACTCGTAGGAAAACGCGCCTGACTGAATACTTCGGATCCATAATCTCTCAGCTTCGAGTAGCTCATTAGCATTCAACTCAGACGTAACAGAGTATAGTTGCTTTCTTGATTTCTTGATAAACCTTAAAATTTGTGCTGTGACACGAAGTAGTTTGTTCTTCGTACCATATCTGTATTGGTCAATAATCTTCTCCAAGTGGATGCAATTACGGTCAGGAAGCGATGTTAAGTCAAGGAATGTGTTATTGGAAGAGGATTTTGTATTATCTCTGTGTAGCAATGGTCCTCATCCAATTTTTTAGGTTGAAGATCTTCGGGCCAATTATCTTCAGTATCTTGGAGAAACTGCGGACCATTCCACCAGATTCCAGATTGCACAAGTCCACTTCCGGAACACCCACGAGAAGGCAAGTCGGCAGAGTTTATTACCCCAGGGCAATGTCTCCATTTATAACTACTAGTTAAAGCCTGGTTCACATATGCCTGCGGTGTGCCTGCGAAATGACCGCCGACAAGACCTGCGCTTATTTATTGTATATGTGAACAATCGCTCGCCGGTAACGCAGGTTATCTGTGTCAACATCGGCGGCCTGCCGGGAAAGTTGACTAGAGTTCAACTTTCCCGGCAAGTTTGCGATATGTCTGCGGTATACGGCGGCAATTACATATATGTGAATGGTCCGCCGGTATGCCTGAACGATTTGTCGAATCCCACAATGCATCGGTCAGATGTGGATAACATGGCGGACGAAATAGCAAAACGCATAATACAAAGCACCGAAATGGACGAAAATAACAATTCAGACACCAATGAAGTTATTGAAACAGTCAAGAACAAAGCACTTATGGATACCATACGTATATATCGTGCTATATACGATAAATCGTGTCCAGATTACAAAAATCAAAGGATAAAACAAAACGCTTGGCAAGCTGTGGCAGAAGCTTTGGAATTGGACGTTGCAAGTGTGCAAAAAAGATACAACACAATACGAACAAATTTCTCCAAGTACATAAAGAATATTAAGGGAAAATCAGGCAGTGGTCGGGCAGGTATTGAAATCAGGCCTGATTTAGAACATCTGCGATGGTTAATTACACATATTCGATATCGTCAGACAACAAGTAATTTTTCAACTTCCACGAACTATCCTCTTGGGCAAACTTCCCATGCATCAATATAACTAACTGATGAGGGAAGCGAATCTAGTAAGGTTAGCACGGTGTTTGTAGACGATGATTCGGACGATATATCAGCCAGTTTTTCTGATCAAACCTCATCCAATGGAGGACAAGACTTGGATGCAGATATTGGTAGTGGTAATAATGATGCTATGCAGATGGTCAAAGATAGTAAAACGCTTGGCAAAAGAAAGATATGCTCATTAGAAGAAGAAAAATATTGCAGGCCATGGGCAAAGAATAAAAAAGTTAACACAGCACTTGGGTTTGAAAAGGAAGTCATGAAGACCATGCATGGCATCAATTCCGCCATATTGCAACTTTCTTCTTCAGATGCTGACATGGGAAACATTGCCAAAAATGATGAAGATACATTGTTTTGCTCTAGCTTGGTTTCCAAATTCAAACGCATCCCAACTTCACACAAGTCTTTGCTCCAGCTAAATATTTTGAAAGTGATGAACGAAATGGAAATGGAATGTAATGCCCAACAACAGGCCACACAAAAAAATCCATACTTCTTCTCACCCCCTAACCCAAGGATGCAGCACCATAATTTAAGTCAGCAAAGGATGAACTTCAATAACAATCTTGACCAAGGAGATTGTTAGTTTCTTAAAAGAAGTTAGGAACTTTAAATAGATGAATTATTATTGCTTGTTTACAAATTCCTCCCTTTACATTAGGGTTTTCAGGATTACATATAGACCCAAATATTGTATTTTGCAAATTTCATATTTAGCTGATAAACATTTCAGCATCTTTTTCCACAGTATCTAACATAATCTAGCTGCCAGGGCAAGGCTCCATAGTTGCTTTTAAAATATTCACAATAATGCTCTCTCACAGACTTTGCAGTAAATGAATAAGAATTGCTCCCAACTCGTCGAACTGCTTGCAAAGTGCTCTGATCCCCTTGCGTGATGTGTCTCCATTCCCCATTAATAATATTCCCAGATCCATCTTCAGCATCAACAAAACCTTTTTGAATATAATATGCGTTTTGAGTTAATGACAAATAATTATGCAAGCATACAGTTGCTTGAACAATAAGATCTACAGTTGTAATTGCAGCTCGAATTGGTCGTCTATAAATTCTCCACCTAGCTGCCAGTATTCCAAAGGTGTTTTCAATGGTTCGTCTGCATCTAGACAATCGATAATTAAATATAGCTTGTTCTTGA